CATGGTTCAAAGTAGCGGTATCGGCCATGAACTCGGAGGGTACTGATACACATCGGTCGCGGCGTCGCGGCGCGGTATCGGACGATACGCTCAAAATGCAAGATAGAAGCTCCAAAAAAATTTAAAAAAATTCTAAAAAAATAGACATTATCATTTATGCATCATATATCCACAATACATCTAAAAACACATTAAACATAATTAAAATGAAACATAAAATCACGAGCGAAAATAATTATCATTATCAATGTTCAATGTAGACATTTAGGAACATATTGAGCTGTAATCATTGCCACATTGAACGACGATGAGGTTCAAAATCGTCGTTATTGTCTCTAGGATAATACAAATTATGGTACTGTCTACCATAAGAATTAGAGTACAAGTGTGAATACAGGTCTGATTGGGTTGGTTGAATTGATTGACTAGATGACCCATAATCAGAGTAGTGTGACTGTGGAGGTTGTACTGGCTGGTTCCCATACTGATAGTACCCAAAACCACGATATTCACGGCCACTACTAGCAGAAGACTGATCATATCCATAAAAGTTGACACTATCCGATGTTGTGTTAGAAGATCCATCATGATGTCTCCTTGGAACACGATCATAGTAACCACCAGTACTAGTACTAGTAGATCTCTCAAGATGCGTAGGGCGATGGCCATAATGCCCAGCACTATTAGTACTAGTAGACCTCGAAAGCTGCGAAGGGATACCATATCCATATGATCCATGTGAATAGCTAGATTCTATACCACTACTTTGATGATGTCCGTAAGACATGTATCCTTCATATGATGTCAATCCCAAATTCTGCATATGATCGTCAATATCTTGTCGACTAAGTGAATGATGGTAGCGTCTATGGGAATAATCATCACCAATGGAAGAGTTTAAATTCCTTCGTTGTTTCATTGCCCCTGGTCTATATCCATGGTCTGTATCCTGTGTGGCATAGTAATTGTCTTGCCCCTGTGCCCATGACATACCGCCAGGTAGCTGAGTATCACTACCATCTCCAGTAGTCCCTCCACCATCACTCTTGTTGCTCTCATCTTTATCTCCACCATGATTACTAGCATCATCATCATCAGTACTACTACTATCACCACCACCACCACCATAAGTATCAGCAACATTATTATCATTATCATCATCAGAAGAAGAATCACTAGAACTAACAAAAATTCTCATAGCCTTTTTACCCTTATTAGTTGGCCTCGTATCTTTTTCAGATCTTCTGGTAGTGGCATAATTGCTAGATGTTGGTGCCGTATTAGTGTCACCTTCATCAACTACATCTCGTCCACTTCCACCTTCTTCAATGTCACGAATACCTTCATCCAGCCAACCTAAATTATCAGGTGGTAAAATTGATTCCTCCCCTTCTCTTATCCACTCATCTAATATATCATCATCATTAAAAATACAGTTCAAATCAATTGGATTATAAAAATCATCATTTTCACGCTGATATGTCAAATTTTTAACTCGCAACCGCATATTGTAGTGCACAAAAACTAGCTTATGTAGCTTTTTCATTGCCAATCGGTTGCGAAGTTTTGTATGGATTAGCGACCATGTACTCCAATTTCTTTCACACCCTGATGATGAACATGTTTGGCTTAAAACTTTGACTGCAATTTTTTGCAGATGGGGAGCTTCGTCACCATAATTGATCCACCATTCAGCTACAAAAAAAAAAAACTGTACAATATTAGTATTGACCATAAGAGTAACAAATGATACTTTACTAAATACATATAGTTTAAATAATAAACCTGGAAGGGAGGCATGTACAGCTTTTCTAGTGAGTGCATTCCCAAACTCGCCATGTTTGTCAGTATATAATTTGATCTGCAATTTATTGTGTAATGTATTACGTAAACGACAAATATATACACATATTATAATAAAAAATTATCAAAAATCGTCATACCTCATTCATTGCCCTTGCTTGTTTATTCAAATCTGGTTCCAATCTTTTAATAACCTCTTTCAAACCAGATCTTACCTCAGGATGGTTGGAAAATTGATTAGAATACTGAAAAACTGGATTTAAGAAATAAGCTGCAAAATTTTTGATAATTTAATGTAAGTTAGTGAAAAACTATAATATTTTACAAGCTAATACACAATGATCAACTATTTATATTTTTAAATACTTTTACCTGCTGCATGTAAGTGTCTGTGCAATTGGATCTCCCATCTTTTGTCAATCACAGCCCAGTATTTCTTCCAATTTTTGACTGAATGTTGTATGGCTAGTTTAGCCCTGTCCATTGCCTCATAGATAATTGATAAAGTTGGTTTTTTGTCTTGATCAACTATTTTTAAGACTCTAACAAGAGGCTCCATGACAGATTGAACTTCTCTAGCCTTCTTCCAAAATTGGTCAGTCAAAATAAGATTTGAGACTATATCTCTTGTTTTTCTCCTCGTCTTGTCTTTGTTGAACTCACGCCATTCATCGGTGGTACACATTCTTTTCAAGTCCGATTCATAACGAATAAGACTTTCAATGGCGATAAATTCAGTGGCAAATCGTGTTATACCTGGCCTCAATAAATCTCTATCTCGGGTATGTTGCTTCATTAAGTTGACCACTTTGAGACTGTTGTAGATAAAAGATGTGATCGTCTTAGCATCATCTATGGTCTCCTTGATTGCTTTCATATGACCAATATCTTCCAGCATCAAATCAATACAATGAGCTGCACAAGGAGACCAAAATAAATGTTTTCTTTTATCCATCAACATCTTACCAGCTGCTTTAAAGCTTGCCTCATTGTCGGTTACTACATGTACTACATTTTCTTCTCCAATTTCATCAACAACTTTATCCATAAGAGAGAAAATATAGTCAGCAGTTTTTGAAATATTTGTGGTATCAATTGATGTATGGTAAATCATATTACGGTCACAATAAATCATGAAATTGATAATGGATTTCTTTGTTCTAGAACTCCACCCATCAGACATGATTGTGCAACCATACTGAGGCCATTTTACCTTCATCGAAGATATGTACACATCAAGCTCTTGAACCTCCTCCTCCAAATAAGAACTACCAATTTGATATCCTGTGGGACCCTTTATACCTGGGCCTGCATCCGCAATAGTGTCAATCATTGACTGATAGTAAGGCCCACTATCAGCTGCATTGAATGGTATGGCATTGAAGAGGAAGAACTTTGAAATAGCTTTTCCCACTTTTTTCAGGTTCGCACCTGAGAATATGCCTTTTACTGACTTTTGTTTCGACGGGAACATGTACGGATCAAGGCCACTTATAGGCATGCTTGCACCTTCTTTTGTGCTATAGCTACGTGGTGGTTCGCGCTTGATTCCTGAGCTTGATGGTTGTGATGATCGACCGCTTGCATTTGATACAGAATGCCTACGACCCTCTTCCTCCATCCAAGCCATTTGACGACTTTCCTTCATTGCATGCTTTAACTGTCTTCTTTCAAAATCACCATCTTCAATTTGATTCTCACCATCATCATCATCGTCGTCGTCATCCAGGTTGTAACAATCTTCATCTCGTAATGATTGCATAATTCGTTCTTTTTTCTTTTTTATAGAAGCCCTTTCTTTACTACAATCACTAAGATGTTGTCTCAAGAATTGTGACACTTCTTTTGGTGCACGTGGACATCTTTCCACCTGGCCGGATACATGTGCAATATGCTACTTCATTCGAGTAATGCCACCATAAACTATTTTACCACAATAATTGCACTTTGTAATTCGTCGATCACTACCAACAGGTGTTGCGTGTTNATATTATAATAAAAAATTATCAAAAATCGTCATACCTCATTCATTGCCCTTGCTTGTTTATTCAAATCTGGTTCCAATCTTTTAATAACCTCTTTCAAACCAGATCTTACCTCAGGATGGTTGGAAAATTGATTAGAATACTGAAAAACTGGATTTAAGAAATAAGCTGCAAAATTTTTGATAATTTAATGTAAGTTAGTGAAAAACTATAATATTTTACAAGCTAATACACAATGATCAACTATTTATATTTTTAAATACTTTTACCTACTGCATGTAAGTGTCTGTGCAATTGGATCTCCTATCTTTTGTCAATCACAGCCCAGTATTTCTTCCAATTTTTGACTGAATGTTGTATGGCTAGTTTAGCCCTGTCCATTGCCTCATAGATAATTGATAAAGTTGGTTTTTTGTCTTGATCAACTATTTTTAAAACTCTAACAAGAGGCTCCATGACAGATTAAACTTCTCTAGCCTTCTTCCAAAATTGGTCAGTCAAAATAAGATTTGAGACTATATCTCTTGTTTTTCTCCTCTTTTTGTTTTTGTTGAACTCACGCCATTCATCGATGGTACACATTCTTTTCAAGTCCAATTCATNTTTGTCTTTGTTGAACTCACGCCATTCATCGATGGTACACATTCTTTTCAAGTCCAATTCATAACGAATAAGACTTTCAATGGCGATAAATTCAGTGGGTGTTATACCTGGTCTCAATAAATCTCTATCTCGGGTATGTTGCTTCATTAAGTTGACCACTTTGAGACTGTTGTAGATAAAAGATGTGATCGTCTTAGCATCATCTATGGTCTCCTTGATTGCTTTCATATGACCAATATCTTCCAGCATCAAATCAATACAATGAGCTGCACAAGGAGACCAAAATAAATGTTTTCTTTTATCCATCAACATCTTACCAGCTGCTTTAAAGCTTGCCTCATTGTCGGTTACTACATGTACTACATTTTCTTCTCCAATTTCATCAACAACTTTATCCATAAGAGAGAAAATATAGTCAGCAGTTTTTGAAATATTTGTGGTATCAATTGATGTATGGTAAATCATATTACGGTCACAATAAATCATGAAATTGATAATGGATTTCTTTGTTCTAGAACTCCACCCATCAGACATGATTGTGCAACCATACTGAGGCCATTTTACCTTCATCGAAGATATGTACACATCAAGCTCTTGAACCTCCTCCTCCAAATAAGAACTATCAATTTGATATCCTGTGGGACCCTTTATTCGTGGGCTTGCATCCGCAATAGTGTCAATCATTGACTGATAGTAAGGCCCACTATCAGCTGCATTGAATGGTATG